ATCCCCGTGGTGTGCACTTCTTATGGTCCTGTAGTAGTCCTGGTTTATTCTTTGCTTCTCTTCAAGCTTCACTTGCGTGCTGATGCTTTTGTCTCTTTGTAATGTGCTTTTGTTTTCAACAGTTTTATGTTCTAGGTTATTAATTCAATTTTTATTGAATATGGCAGGGTTTTGATGTGAGGTTGATAGATGTAAATCGAACTTGTAAAGTAACTAAGGTAATTTCATGCCATCTAAGTTTGTTTTGTTATTAGAGTGATTTCTATATAATTCATTTTGAATTTGATATGATCCAGGGAGGGCAAGTGATCAAGTACACTGCTTTGTTAGCTTGTGGAAACTATCACGGTGTTGTTGGCTATGCAAAAGCCAAAGGTGCAGCAGTCCCTATTGCCCTGCAAAAGGTAACATGTTGGTGATTTTATTTCTTTATTGTTGATTAATTCTGCTCTAGATAGATTATTGGTAGGTGAATCAGTTATTTAACTTCTATGGGTTGACTGGAAAATTGATATCTTTCGGGACATGTTTTACAATATTATCGATTGGTATCCAGATTTCTTTGGACATTTCTTGATATAGTATTTGACATGCCTTGGGCGTTAGGATATTACCTTCATGTATGAGTTAGGCGCATTCTCAGATATGAAGGGAAAACATATGCACTTTTGACTCTTTTTACCCCTGATGTGACAATTTTCAATTTTTGGATTTTTGAGATAGGTTTATCCTTACCTATCGTCCTGATTTTTTAAACAATGGACATGTACTATTCTAAATTAATAAGTAGATTTTTGCCTCTAGAACTTTTATAATCTAAAGTTTTGTTTTGGCTGGGTTTCATATTGTTGTACTTTGACTAGCTAATCTGATTTGGATGGATTTTGAATCTGATATTCACATGCTTCTGTCGAATTCCTTTTTTCTTGGGTGTAGTTTTGGTAAAGTTCAGTTTCTTCATTTTTGTTGCAGTTGCTTTTTATATGGCTACTTTCGTGGTATGATTCTATGATTTGAGGTACATAA